TATATAAAAAACTAAAAGTACTTTTAAATAAAAAGTAAATTACTAATATACTTAATACACTTATTAAAAACTGCTAAGTAAAGCTATGCTTAAATTTAAAAAAGGATAAAGTTAACCTTAATAAAGTTCCTAACTTAAAGGTAAAAGAAGGAGAGTTTTTAATTAAAGCTATCTTTATTATTATAAATACTTAAATTATAAGCTTAAAGTGCCTTACTAATATATATATAATACTTAACTAAGTATACTTATTAAGCTATAGTACTATCTTTAACTTATATAAATTAACTTACTTAATTAGTAATAAGGATTTATTAAAGCTAGGCTTTTTTATTTTAATAAAGAAAGAAGACTAAGTTAAGGCTAGTATAAGCTAAATTCTAATTATTAATTAAGGCATTTAAAAGCTTAAGAAGGTTTTTAATAGTAAGGAAAGACTTAATATAATAAATATTATACTTAAAAATATAGCTATTATTAAAGGTTTTTATATTAATATTATATTTAAAGCTAAGCTTAAAGTAAAAGGTATTTAATATAGTAAATAAAACTGCTTATTATATTTTAAACCTTTTAGTAAAAATATACTTTTAAAAAAATTAAGTAAATACTATAATCTAGTTTTTTTTAAATATAAGCCTTATTATACTTATATTATTATTAATTATTAAATATATATATTATATATATATTACTTAATATAAAAGTATAATTAGCTTTAAAAGTAACTTTTTATTTTTATTATAAGTATACTAAAGCTTAGTAAAAATTACCTTAAGCCTTAAAAAAATATAAAACTTTTATAGCACTTATAATTAGGTTACTTTAAGCTAAAAGCGTTATAAATGCTTATAGCTAATATATAAAATATATAAATTAAAAAAACTAAGTATTTAAAATACTTTATATATATACTAATATATATAATATAAGTTATTTTATAAAGACCTTTTAAGTATATATCTCCTTAACTTTTTTAATAAATTTACTAAAATCTTTAAAACTACTTTAAAGGGTTTAATAGCTTAAAATAGCTTTTAGTAATTAAAGATAAATATAATAGCTAGCTATATATATAATATTTAATAAATAAGTAGTTAAAGACTATTTATAATACTTTAGTTTAATTTAATAAATTTATTAAAAAGTAATTTAAACTATTAATTTATTAAATTTATTAAAATAATAAAAAGGCTATAATTATAATTAATAGTATTATAATTTTTTAAATTTAAATAAATAAAAAAGGAATTATTCTTAAGCTTATGCCTTTTTATATATATAAGTTAAATAGCTTAATTAAGTATTTTAAGTAAATAGTTATTATAAAGTTAATAAAAATATTAAAAGGTATTAACCTTTTAATAAAGCTATAAATAAAAAGTATATTAACAGCTATTTATTTACTTAATATAAGCCTTTTATATATTTATAATATATAAATACTTATATATAAACTAAAGGAATAATTTTATTTATATAGCCTATTAGTAATTTAAAAGCTTAATATAAACTTAAAGCTTAATTAAAGTAGGATATATATATATAGCTATAAGGCCTATATACTTAATTAAGATTAAAAAGTAAAAATAAAAAAAAGGTATTTTAAAGTAAGCCTTAAAAGGTTAATTAATTATTTTATTAACTATAAAGCTAGTAATATATATAAAATCTAAATCCTTTACTTTAAAAAGTCTTAATAATTTAAAATATTAA